CGTTCAACTCAATTACTGGTAGCCTAATGCTTGACGAAGTGGGCCCACTGATAATTTTTGCATTAGGGCTCGAAAATTCTAGCTACGCCACTGGCTACGGACATAACACTATGCAGTGGTCTAAGACAGCGTAAAGCTGTGCTAGAAAAACACAAAAACGTTTGAAATAGTTTTACACTGAGTTGCAGACGTTGAGGTATGGATGCTGTATCCGACCAGGGGGTGACTCATGTGACGAGGCTGGGACAGGTACGGCGTGAAGGTACGACGCAGTTGGGGGACCAGAACAGGCTAAATGTGGAACAAGGGGCCACAACCGGATGAATTAAAAACAGCCAAAATAGATTTTGCACATGAAATGTATCTAAGACAAATCTATTGCTCGGTCGGTGAAAATTATTTGTTTTTCTTTGTATATATATATATATATATATATATATATATATATATATATATATATATATATATATATATATATATATATATATATATATATATATATATATATATATATATATATATATATATATATGTGTGTGTGTGTGTGTGTGTGTGTGTGTGTGTCTGCATACACACACATATAATATTATATTTACTATTAATGTAAAGTAACTATACTATACATACATATATATATATATATATATATATATATATATATATATATATATATATATATACATATATATATATAATATACTATCAATGTAAAGTAACTATACTGAAGAAGCAATAATAAAATGCTGGCAGATAATAGAGAGCTAAGAAACAGATATTGTCCTTACCGTCACCACCCGGAGTTGTGCCCCAGAGTTGTCGAACCTTCTAGTATTTATGTAACTTGGTGAGTAATGCTCACCTGACTTGTACAGGATTTGTTTACTAGGCAGAAAAAACAAGGTCACTGGTCAGCTGTGGAACTGTGTGACGTCATTAAGGCCCGAACATTTCCTTGACCCAGATCTGTCACGTGACTCGGTTTTAAATTAAACCGTTTTTTTTTAATCACCAAGGGAAGCAACTTTCACTGGGGACGTCTCGACGGCCGTGTTTCACGTCGGTGTTTGGCAGGTTCATTTGTCGTTAATCTGTGCGTGACGTCTGCAACCGGATCTGATGGGTAGAACTCGTGCTTTTGTATGTCTTAGACGTGTCTTTGATTCAAGACTTTTGGTCATTTGTCCAACTTTTGGTCATTTGTCCAATACTTTTGGTCTTTTGTCAAAGACTTTTGGTCATTTGTCTAAGACTTTATGTCATTTGTCCAAGTCTTTTGGTCTTTTGTCCAATTTTTGGTCTTTTGTCCAATTTTTGGTCATTTGTCCAAGACTTTCGGTCTTTTGTCAAAGACAGGTGATCTATTAACTAACTTGTGCTCTAGTGTTTACATTGTGTCTATAGTGTGGTCTATGGAGCTGGAAGATTTTATTTTTATGAATGGTCGATGTTACTTGCATCTAAAGAAAAACGTTGGTAATAACTTATAAGTTAGTGCATTTTAAATTTTTTTTTTTGCGTAAAAATAAATACGTTTTATTTAAACCTAGCTACAATACATTATGAGGAGAGACATGATGCTACTTTTTCTCTCTGGAACTACATGACTGATTTTATGCTGGCACCTGATTGCCGTTTCATTCATGCGTTGTTCTGTTGCTTAGCCAGACCAGTTGGGGACCTAGAAAATCCAGCATCCCCTCCCCACATCGGAGAAAACAATCCTGACTCAAGATATCAATCATATACAAAAAGTTATTTGATAATTCTGCCCAGTGGCGGAACTAGAAAAAAAGGGCCACCCCGCAAAAAAATGTGTGGGCCCCATATATAATATATATATATATATATATATATATATATATATATATATATATATATATATATATAAATATATATATATATATATATATATATATATATATCAAGCTACCCATCTTTCGCTCTACACTTTTGCTATGTTTTTACCTATTACCACAATCAATACTTAGATACAGAATATTTTTAAATTAATTTTTATATTATAAAGGTCGGGTTTCGGTGCCTGGGCCGCTCGCATTGTCTAGTTCCGCCACTGAGCTGGTAAAACATCAAGTCAACAACTAGAAAAATAACTTTTACATTTTTTTCATCAACAAAATCCCCAGGTCCATGTTTTGACTTGTCAGCTGCGACAGTGGAAGATATTTGAACATCCTGCATGCCTCAGATTACACGCAGAGGTTGTTTATGCTTGCTCTAGTATAGGTGTTTTAAATGTAATGGCAGACATGTTGTTTGTTAGAGATGTTGTTTGTTAGAGATGTTGTTTGTTAGAGATGTTGTTTGTTAGAGATGTTGTTTGTTAGAGATGTTGTTTGTTAGAGATGTTGTTTGTTAGAGATGTTGTTTGTTAGAGATGTTGTTTGTTAGAGATGTTGTTTGTTAGAGATGTTGTTTGTTAGAGATGTTGTTTGTTAGAGATGTTGTTTGTTAGAGATGTTGTTTGTTAGAGATGTTGTTTGTTAGAGATGTTGTTTGTTAGAGATGTTGTTTGTTAGAGATGTTGTTTGTTAGAGATGTTGTTTGTTAGAGATGTTGTTTGTTAGAGATGTTGTTTGTTAGAGATGTTGTTTGTTAGAGATGTTGTTAGAGATGTTGTTTGTTAGAGATGTTGTTTGTTAGAGATGTTGTTTGTTAGAGATGTTGTTTGTTAGAGATGTTGTTTGTTAGAGATGGTGTTTGTTAGAGATGTTGTTTGTTAGAGATGTTGTTTGTTAGAGATGTTGTTAGAGATGTTGTTTGTTAGAGATGTTGTTTGTTAGAGATGTTGTTTGTTAGAGATGTTGTTTGTTAGAGATGTTGTTAGAGATGTTGTTTGTTAGAGATGTTGTTTGTTAGAGATGTTGTTTGTTAGAGATGTTGTTTGTTAGAGATGTTGTTTGTTAGAGATGGTGTTTGTTAGAGATGTTGTTTGTTAGAGATGTTGTTTGTTAGAGATGTTGTTTGTTAGCGATGTTGTTTGTTAGAGATGTTGTTTGTTAGCGATGTTGTTTGTTAGAGATGGTGTTTGTTAGAGATGTTGTTTGTTAGAGATGTTGTTTGTTAGAGATGTTGTTTGTTAGCGATGTTGTTTGTTAGAGATGTTGTTTGTTAGAGATGTTGTTTGTTAGAGATGTTGTTTGTTAGAGATGTTGTTTGTTAGAGATGTTGTTTGTTAGAGATGTTGTTTGTTAGAGATGTTGTTTGTTAGAGATGTTGTTTAGTAGAGATGTTGTTTGTTAAGGATGTTGTTTGTTAGAGGTGTTGTTTGTTAGAGGTGTTGTTTGTTAGAGATGTTGTTTGTTAGAGATGTTGTTTGTTAGAGATGTTGTTTGTTAGAGATGTTGTTTGTTAGAGATGTTGTTTGTTAGGGATGTTGTTTGTTGGAGATGTTGTTTGTTAGAGATGTTGTTTGTTAAGTATGTTGTTTGTAAGAGATGTTGTTTGTTAGAGATGTTGTTTGTTGGAGATGTTGTTTGTTAGAGATGTTTGTTAGAGATGTTGTTTGTTAGAGATGTTGTTTGTTGGAGATGTTGTTTGTTGGAGATGTTGTTTGTTAGAGATGTTGTTTGTTAGAGATGTTGTTTGTTAGAGATGTTGTTTGTTGGAGATGTTGTTTGTTAGAGATGTTTGTTAGAGATGTTGTTTGTTAGAGATGTTGTTTGTTAGAGATGTTGTTTGTTAGAGATGTTGTTTGTTAGAGATGTTGTTTGTTAGAGATGTTGTTTGTTAGAGATGTTGTTTGTTAGAGATGTTGTTTGTTGGAGATGTTGTTTGTTGGAGATGTTGTTTGTTAGAGATGTTGTTTGTTAGAGATGTTGTTTGTTAGAGATGTTGTTTGTTGGAGATGTTGTTTGTTAGAGATGTTTGTTAGAGATGTTGTTTGTTGGAGATGTTGTTTGTTGGAGATGTTGTTTGTTAGAGATGTTGTTTGTTAGAGATGTTGTTTGTTAGGGATGTTGTTTGTTAGGGATGTTGTTTGTTAGAGATGTTTGTTAGAGATGTTGTTTGTTAGAGATGTTGTTTGTTAGAGATGTTGTTTGTTAGAGATGTTTGTCACTAAATGACCCATGTTACAGTAGAGATGGGTCACTCAATGACCCATGTTCGAGTTTAGATTGGTCTCTAAATGACCCATGTTAGTTGAGGTGGGTCTCTAAATGACCCACGTTACAGTTGAGATGGGTCTCTAAATGACCCAGGTTACAGTTGAGAAGGGTCACGTAATAACCCAGGTTACAGTAGAGATGGGTCTCTAAATGACCCATGTTACAGTAGAGATGGATATCTAAATGATCCAGGTTACAGTTGAGATGTGTCGCTAAATGACCCAGGTTACAGTTGAGATGGGTCTCCAAATGACCCGTGTTACAATACAGATACAATCCACTGTGACCTTGACATCCAAGAGGCCAAGTAAAATACCTGGATCTGTTGTAATTCTGTAGCTGCCATTTTGATTGATGTCCGTGTAAGACCAGTGACGCACGAGGTCACGTGACCGTATAGTGAGTTCACCGTACAATGACCTATGTAACAAACAATGGGTGAACTTTTGTGGCTGGGGTACGTTTGTGTGGCTGATGCAGATGGCGCGTGTGGTTGGAGTGTGTAGCTGGTAAGTGTGGTCGATGGGAGTGGTGTGTGTGTGGATGGTGTGTATGTGTGAGTGATGAAACTGACATGTGTGTGTGTAGTTGATGTAGCTGGTGTGTGTAGGGATGGTGTATCTGATGTGGCGGGTGAGTGGTGTGTATGTGTGAGTGGTGTGTGGATGTAGTTGGTGTGTAGCTGTGGCTTGTGTGTGAGAGTGTTTGTGGTGTGTGTGGGCGATGTGTGTAGCTTTGGCTAGTGGGTGGTGTATGGCTGTGTAGCTGATGTGGCTTTAGCGTGTGTGTGTTCTGCATTAGCTACTGAATTTGTAAAAATAAATTGACACTAGTAAACAGTAACTGACTTGCCAAATGAAACTAGTAACAAGCATTCTAATCTTTAATAAAAAAATGTATGCAAAAATTACAATCATAAATCATTGTCAAATATTAAAAAAAAAAACAACATTGTGCACTCTAAATACAAAGACATCCACACATCATAACATCACAACTAGTGGATGGCTAATTAGACATTATTCAGTAAACATCTACAGGGAAGTATATACTTTCTCCATATTTTAATTAGATCAAGTAATAATTTAAATAAATACATTTTTAACAACCATTTTTGTTTGTTCATTCATCCAACAATGACCAAAACTTTAAGAGGAATAAAAAACATTTTGGACAGAAAAGTCTTTATAATTTCATAATAAACTTGTAAATTTTGTTAACATTGCTGCCGTGTATAAAATGTGGTCAGCATGTTAACGTGAAAGACAAGGTCACCAACATTTACATGACAGTTGAAAAAGTTTCTCCTTTCTTGGACCTCTTCTTCACACACGTGTAGATGATGATGGCACACACTAAACTGGCCAGGAGAGTTGCCAGGATGGCAACCACAATAATTAAAGCTATTTCAAGGTCACTGTAGTTCTCACTGGTTATTACAGCTTCTGGGAAATAGATCAATGGATCACACATCTACAGGTGTCCTTTATATATATATATATATATATATATATATATATATATATATATATATATATATATATATATATATATATATATATATATATATATATATATATATATATATATATATATATATATATACCTATACATATATAATTATTTTTTTGTGTATGTATGTGTACATGTGTCTATGAAGATGGGTATGGGTGGTTATATATGTATAAAAATAGCATAAATGATATAGTATAGCCTGTATAATTAATACATTACCTGCAATCTGTTCTTGAGATTCTGCTGATGGATTAGTCTGTTGATAAATTGTAAATTTAAATAGCCTGTTAACTGGCTTACTTATTCTGCTGTATAATTACTGAAGCCTTAAATATGTTAATGAACTTATTACATTTTAGTTGATATATAGCTGAGATGACATAACAATTATTATTTGGTTTTCAAGCTCACAAAGATTGTAACTAATTAAATATTTTTCACATATAAATATACGTACAGTAAAGTAAATCATTGCTATAGTCTGTCTTCTAGCTGTGGACATTTCTTCAGCCTGTTGACATTGACACAAAATGTTACAAAACTATTTTGTATTTCTTACAAAATATTTTTAAAATTAATTAAAGAATTTATAATTAAGTTTATATTTTTTTTAACAAATTATAGTTGCAAGATAACTTGCAACTTGCAACAACGGTAGGCCTGTATGACTAAACGAATTTTCTATTTTACCTTAAGAAAAATTTGAAATCCCTCAGAAAGCACCATATCCACAAGGGAGACAACACTAGCTGTGTAAGTTTTACCAACACCTTTGACTGTATCAACTTTAAAATAATTTTCTTTCCCTACAGGAAATGCTGTCAATAAATAAAATAAATGCATGAACTAAAGAGAGTAAAACAGGACATTTTCAAAATAATAAATATTTCAACTAAATAAAAAGCACTTTTGTGTGCTCGTTACTTGGAAATATATACTTCTAAATTTTAGATAACTGAGGAAAGAACTCTAATTTACAGAAAACAAATTCATATGTTAGCCTTCATATGTTACTTCATCAATATGTATTGAGCATGCTCCAACAATAATTATTTGAATTAAAATATCAACATTTAACCAGCTTTACAGATACTGGTTGAAGTATAAAATTTCTAAATAAAATATATTTTAATTTTTTTTTTTTGGGTGGGGGGACAGGAACATTAGACTTACAGAAGAGATGCCTGAAAAAAACTGCATTAAACTGTAAGAATCTGATGATAACTTTACAACTAGATCATTAAAAAAGTCTTACTTGAAGCTATAGAGAAAGTGATTTCATTCCCAATATCAATGTCAAGGTCATGTGCTGTGATATCAACATACCCATTGACTGAGTTAGGAACTGGTTGGACTTTGATGGGCTGGTTCTGTGTACAAGGAGAATCAGGTGACCAACAATGTTATGCTTGAGTGATTTAATGCTAAGATTCTGCTATGTCAACTGTTTTAAAGTTGTCAGACTCTGATTATATTTCTTATGTTTACTGGTTGAATTTTATATTCTGTCATGTGACTAAAATTTATTTCGGTACTTCATTAATGCCATTCACAAGAAATGATGTCACAGCTTAGAAGAACCAAACATGATTACTGGAAGAATTAACAAAGTTATTAGTTTTAGTTTATTTTTTGCTGCAGTTTTAAAGTGTCCTATGACATACTTTCTCAAATTTTTACATTTTCTTTCTAACAGCAGTGATGGAACTATTTTTTTGTGACACTCTTGCAGTATGCTGAGAGTGAATGGAGTGACGGAATTTTCTCATTAGATTTTTTGTTTTGGTGCCCCCCCTCCCCCCTTATGTGAGATACAAAGTCCCTCATCCAACTCTATGCTACTAACTTTCTCTCTTAAATGAATACTCATGATATTTGGGGATAAGGAAATAATTTGGTCCGCAGTGTTTGATTTGATTTTATTCTTTCTTCTTCTTCTTTGTTCTTAAAGTTATTTTATTAAAATGTTTTAAAATTTAGAAAACATTATTCAAATAACATTCTAAACTAACAACTGGCTTTTTCTACATACGTTGTTAAAATAATACTTAATATCTCATATTGCTATTTTAGTTACATCTAGTTCCACTAACTGAAGACAGAAGGGATATTTTGGGAGACTCCAAAATTAACAGATGGGGACTGGACAAAATGAAAGGTTATGGAATAAAGAGGATTAAGTCAAGTCACCTACTTCCACTGCTCTTCACCTGAGGCAATAGTTTTTTACCTTTCTAATTTGTAATCCAGTTGTATATTTTGGCCATGCACAAGCTCCATTGTTTTGATGGCAGCCAGCGTACGTAAACACTGGATCTTGGTCATCTGAATCCATGACATAGACACGAGATACAGTGCTAGCTGATCTTTTGACCACTGGCCCAGCATCCTATTGGTGAGATACAAATCTTTAGTTTTGATGGTACATTTAGCATATTCATATTTCTTTATTGCTTGCTACTGCTATGAACTAAACGTTTTTTTTCAGAAGAAAAGTTTGCTAGAGGAATAATTAAGAATATAATATGTCATAAAATTTAATACTATGACTACTGTAATATAGGCCTAATTGTAAAAATATATCTCCACTGAATTTTAAAAATTAAAACAATTATTTAAGAACATGTAAGCTTTATATGTTAATTGGAAAATTCCTTTATTAAAGACAGTCTGTCTAGGTGAGTTTGTGAAGGTTAGACTAATGTACCTCCACAATGATTGTGAGATCGTAAAACTTGTTGCCACCTAGAAGCTCGTAGTCTAGTTCTGAGGTCAAGGTCACGCTGCCTGTAAGTGGGTCAATGGAAAACTTGTCAGTGGTGTTGAGCTGTTGGAGATTTCACAGATTCACAAAATTAAAGATTTAATAGCAGCTCTAATTAAATGTTAAAACATTTTCACAAAATTAAAGATTTAATACCAGCTTAAAATTAAATGTTAAAACATTTTCACAAAATTAAAGATTTAATATAATCTCTAATTAAATGTTAAAAACATTTTCACAAAATTAAAGATTTAACATCAGCTCTAATTAAATGTTAAAACATTTTCACAAAATTAAAGATTTAACATAAGCTCTAATTAAATGTTAAAACATTTTCACAAAATTAAAGATTTAACATCAGCTAAAAATTAAATGTTAAAACATTTTCACAAAATTAAAGATTTAATATCAGCTAAAAATTAAATGTTAAAACATTTTCACAAAATTAAAGATTTAACATCAGCTAAAAATTAAATGTTAAAACATTTTCACAAAATTAAAGATTTAACATAAGCTCTAATTAAATGTTAAAACATTTTCACAAAATTAAAGATTTAACATAAGCTCTAATTAAATGTTAAAACATTTTCACAAAATTAAAGATTTAATATAAGCTCTAATTAATGATAAAACATTTTCACAAAATTAAAGATTCAACATAAGCTCTAATTAAATATTAAAACATTTTCACAAAATTAAAGATTTAACATAAGCTCTAATCAAATGTTAAAACATTTTCACAAAAGTAAAGATTTAACATAAGCTCTAATTAAATATTAAAACATTTTCACAAAATTAAAGATTTAACATAAGCTCTAATCAAATGTTAAAACATTTTCACAAAATTGAAGATTTAACATATTCACAAAATTTAAGATTTAACATATTCACAAAATTAGAGATTTTATTTTCATAAAGTTAAAGATTTAATTTTTCACAAAATTAAAACTAAATGTCTTGTCTTTATACCTAAAAAAATATATTTAAAAATGAGGCTCTGAATCAAAATTTGCTTGCCAGTATTCTTCAAGCAAGTAATTTTTCAAAAATTGGATTCTCAAAAAAAAATAAATAATAAAAAAACACTCCTTGAAGACTCACGAAGGTAAAGGTCAAGTTTCCAACAAGATTAGAGTCCTTGTCCTCAGCAGTTACAGAAAACAGGACTGATCCAATAGCTGTTGTCTGCAGATTAGTAAAAAAAACAAGTTTGGTGGAGTTAAGTAAATAATTTTATACTGCTACAATGTGTAATAACAAAATAATTGTAGAGTTATTTATCAACTAGTGCCTGTCTTAATTCAGGAATTTAATTTACACAATGAACATTTTTTTTAAGCACATTGTACTTCATGTTTACAATTTAAAATATTGGCCGTACAGAAAGTTATACAAGCTTTCATTACCGAGTATTAAATTTTTTTTCAATAATATAAAACCCAAAAGATAAACTCTGACCTCTGCTATTTTTATCTCTCTTGTTTTATTTCCATCAACAAAAACTGGGTCATTATCGTTAACATCATTTATGTAAATTCTGGCATCGTAAACCTGTTTGGTGCAAAATATTAAAAATGTATTAACACAAAACACCAATTATTGCAATTAAATTACATCAAGGAGACAGAGAAAATAGAAAAACTGGCATCAAATTTGTTTTGACAAAATTCTAGAACTAATTCTGTAACTATACAACAAGTTGAACAAGTCAGTCATATGACTTAGAAATGTGTTACTCCCACTACCAGTCAACAGAGTGATTTCACATGTGACTTACCATTGTGGTTAGACTTTGATTTCTGGGTGTGCAGGTTAGAGTGAAGGGGATGTAACTCATATCATCCTCTATGGAAGATGTCATACCCTGGTGATATTCAGTGTACACATCAAATTCATAACAATCAAACACAATCCCAGGATATATTTTTTTACATTTAATTTCTTTGTTCTTAATTCAAGTATTGGTAGGGAAGGGATTCCCTCGAACACAATTAAGTATTTTGTGTCAACTTGTTATGTGCCATATAGGCAGTTGACTCAGATTTCAGCCTGCTTTTCTTTGTCGATTTGCTTTCATAGCCTTTGTCCAAGAACAAACTACAAGGCAGCAGTTGTTTGATTTCGGAGTTGTCTTTCCTAGAAGAGGTGCTGTCCCCAGCTATGGAGTATCTTCTGTCCTGGGTTAGAACTCGGGACTTTTTGGTTCAGCAACCATGAGTTAAACCGATCTAACAATTCCAACCACTACATTTTATTTAAAGTTGAATTTTTTTGTTTCATAAAATGACAAAATGGTTAATTAATAAATTAACAAAAATTATTAACTGAACCACTAATTAACAAAAGTTGTTTCCCTTAGAAAATGTTGACATAAATATTGTCTTTTACTTACATCTCTGTCCAGACCCCTGGTTAAACGTATATAGTTGACCCTACCCTCAGTCACAAATGTGAAGTACTGGGACGGGTCAGCGAAGTTGTAGCCTATGCTCAAGTTAAAGTCCCCGGCGCCATAATTCCCTGAAACCCTGAGCTGGGAGTAATATTTCTTGGAGCCAGTCGCAGCAGAACTCTTGATATCTGTAGGTGAAAGTATACACAGCTGTTGGTACTTGGTACCCAGAATAGTTTTGTTGATTTGGGATTTGGAATTATACATCAAAAGGTAAGGATCCAAGAAAAAATAATAATCATCATATTCACTACAATATTATATTTTTAAATGATAAAAAATTCTAAATTTAGTTTTAATTATATTTTTTAATTAAAAACATGGTGATATTAAAGAAATAATTCAAATTAATATAAGGTTGCCATTTAGGTATATCCAGTTTACCATTAGCCAAGAACTCACTATTGAAAACTACAACTTAATATGTTGTCTGTTTTATGAATTTGTGTGGCCCACACATATCCCAGGTGGCCCACACATATCTCAGGTGGCCCACACATATCTCAGGTGGCCCACACATATCTCAGGTGGCCCACACATATTCCAGGTGGATCACAGACATATTACAAAGCTACATTATCCTGAACACTTCATTTAAAACTGGTCTCAAATACCTGCATCAGTAGCCTCATCTACCCAGAATTCCAAGACTGGCAGAGTACCCAGGTAAGGACCCTGGTCTAAAGGCTCACAAGCTGAAAGTAGATTGGAAACAACATTGAAAACATTTGTGTTCTAATTACTGTCAATTTTTAAATACAATATCAATAAGTATTTATCTGTTTGGATTTCAACCTAATTATAACACATTGACAATATAATTTATTATAAAGTATGCAAAGTTCCTTTTCAAACCTGACGGTCCATGAGGGAAGTGCAGTAGAGTTTCTGTGACCTCAGCATAAGAAGGTATAGTGTGGTCAGCACTGTGCCCAGTCACCTTTACTTTCCCTAACTTTAGTTAGGTACCCAACAGAGCTGGGTGGACCACAGTGTCCCATATATTATGGAGTACTATAGCTTTATTACTATTCATGATGCATTTCTAAAACTCATCTTAATCTTAAACTTGTCATAACCCATGTTCTAAAACTAAATACTGGCAACAATTCAGTTCTGGAGCAATGAGAGAGTAGTGTGTAGAAAAGTACACAAGAAAAAAAAAGGGAGATAAATGTGTTTACCTTTAGCTGAAGGTCCTGTTGTGGGTGTGGCTGGGGTATCACCCTAAGAAATTAAACATTGCATGATCACTTGTTAGTTTAAAGTAGAACAAGTTTATATTTGAGGGTGTTATCAACAATTTAGTGACAGTGAAATTCAATAAATGGTGGTGTGTCAACAGTATTTAACTGATGCTGGTGTTTTTGGAATTAAATAGTGCAAATAGCGAAACAAATATTGTGTTTAATTGTTTTATTATAAAACTATAAAATCTATCCCCCAAAGAAGAACTAAAAAAAAAACAACCCAACCAAAACAACCTACTGTGAAGTAAATCATGGCCATCACACTTCTTTTAGCTGGTGATATTTCAACAGCCTGAAAAGAAAATTAAAATCATTGACGGAAGTCTAATTAGTAATTACTTAGAAATTGCTGCATATAATAGTGGTCCCTAAACTAGGTGACGGGACTAAACCAACTACTTACAGAGTTGGGATGTTCAAATTTTGATAGAGATTAGGATTATACAAATACCAGTTTAATAAGTCTGTGACTTACCCTCAAAAAGATTTCAAAACCCTCTTGGACTTGCATGTCAGACAGGGGGACAATGGAGGCTGTGTAACTGTTGCTGCTGCTCTGTGTGGTTATGATGTTGAAGCTGTTTTCTTGACCAGGTGGTACTGCTGCAGTAAGTATAAGGTGAAGTATTGTAAGAAAAATTTAGCAGCACCAAATGATGAATTGGGAAAACGTTTGTTCAGGGAAGAGAGATGCAGAAGGTTTAGCCAATAATTAAAAAAAATCAAGCTTTAGTTGAAGATTTTTAATTAACCTTCCCCTCCACATCGTCAGTAAAAGTGAGACCCATCCCCAAGAATGTCACAACCCCTCGCATTCCACTAAAATTCTGTAAGGGGATATAACAAAGCTAGCTGAATTAGCCAAAAACAATAACTGAGTTTTTTCCCTTTGCATAAAAAAATACAACTATTAAACCGTTTGCAAGTTAGATTGATTGTGGTAATAAAAATAGCTCATCACTAGTATAATTCTTAAACATTTTTAACTTATCTGTGTAAATATCATTTTCATAAGAATTTACGAAAAAGGGATTTTTGATATATGTAAAATAATAATTAAAATTCAGTTTTAATAATACCCTTTTAAATGCAAAGGTATGGTGTCTCACTTTCATTACCCCTATCCCATGTCACACATCGTCAAAAAATTCAGAAGACAACCCCTAAATGGTGATTGGTTTATCAAGTAAAAGTCTCTATTAACAAGGCTTACTTGAGGCCACAGAGAACTGGACAGGATTGTTGATGCCCGTGTCTTGGTCGTACGCCATGATGGTCACAGAACTTGAGATTTGGTTGGGCACTGGGTAGATGGTCAGTGGCACATCCTGTAGGTCATACAAGAATGGGGTCAAGGTCATAAATCAAAGATCATTGGCACATTCATGTAGGTCATGCAAAAATTGGTTCAGGGTCATGAATCAACACATATTAGTTGCAGAAGTTATAGCCAAAAAATATTTCCTGGTAAATTGTGTGCCTTGGTGTTGTTTGAAATTCAAACAAAACCATTTTAATTGTTGATGATAATATATGCTGTTGTTTTAGCCTACTCCCTCACTACATATCATCACACATCATCACAAATAGCCAGACCTCCCACATTCTTCCTATAATAAAAGTATTTCTTAAATTATTTTAATCAGATTTTTTCTTAATAAAAATAATAAAAATACATTAGATTTCTTGAACTCCCCCCCCCCATCCTTATCCCTACATGGCACATTACATTTCTTGAACCCCCCTTATCCCCACAAAGCACATTATCACATTACATTTCTTGAACCCCCACTTATCCCCACATAGCACATTACCACAACAATTTTAACATTACCCCATGATATCCAGTTAACTCTTTGTTTTTCAAATCTTCAGTTTATTCAAAACAATAGGTGCTAAATTTTAAGCAAATTTAAGTTTCAAAATCTTGTAAATAGTCAAAACAATAGGTGCTGAAATTTAAGCAAATTTCAGTTACAAAATCTTGTAAATAGTCTAGTCACCTTTTTCATTTGTAGACCAGTTGTAAATTTAGGCCAGGCACAAATGCCACCATATTTGAAACATCCGGGGTAAGAGAAGGCTGGACCTTGGTCATCGGAGTCTGTTATGTAAATTTGAAGGGTCATTGTGTTTGATCTCGTTGCACCTGGACCAGCATCCTACAGGTGAATGGAAGTGAAGTAAAAAGTAGTAATTTCAGAATTAGTCAGTTGGTTTAAATTACTAAATTAAAAAAAAATTGTAAATTAAAATTAATGAGGAATGCAAGGTCAGGCATGAAGAGTGCATGATTGCTAATGCTGAGAATTCTGAATTAGCTAATTAGCTAGGGACAGCAACCTATTGAGGAGATTTTCATGGCTGGACAAAAGCTATGAAAGAAACTCCAGAAAAACAAAGCAAGCTGAAATCATATTCAACAGGCCATGTGGCATATAACATGTTGACAGGTAATAGATATGTGTTGAAGGTTATCTGCTATAAAAATTACAGTTAAGAACAAATAAGAAAATAAGTGGTTTTTATCAGCTTAGAAGATGTGTGTTATACAATTTTACAGATGGGTATAGAGCCTGAATGTTTAAAATGTGACATACTTGAACGGTAATGTTATAAAAGTTTACAAATGTGTAGGGCCTCAAAAAAAAAAATACTACCTGAACTTGAACAGTGATGTTATAAAAGTTTACAGATGTATAGAGCCTCAATTAAAAAAAAATATACCTACCTGAACTTGAACAGTGATGTTATAAAAGTTTACAGATGTATAGAGCCTCAATAAAAAAAAAATTACCTACCTGAACTTGAACAGTGATGTTATAAAAGTTTACAGATGTATAGGGCCTCAATATAAAACAAAATAACCTACCTGAACTTGAACTGTGATGTTATAAAAGTTTACAGATGTATAGAGCCTCAATATAAAAAAAATACCTACCTGAACTTGAACTGTGATGTTATAAAAGTTTACAGATGTATAGAGCCTCAATATAAAAAAAATACCTACCTGAACTTGAACTGTGATGTTATAAAAGTTTACAGATGTATAGAGCCTCAATTAAAAAAAAATACCTACCTGAACTTGAACTGTGATGTTATAAAAGTTTACAGATGTATAGAGCCTCAATTAAAAAAATACCTACCTGAACTTGAACAGTGATGTTTACAGATGTATAGAGCCTCTATTAAAAAAAAATACCTACCTGAACTTGAACTGTGATGTTATAAAAGTTGTACGTCCCCAGACTCTCGTAGTCCAGCTCCTCTGAGACTTTGATTGCACCTGTCAAACTGTCAATGGAGAACTGAGTTCCAGAGTTTACCTGTGGAACAACAGACGGTACCTTTATATATCTAGAATTGATGTTTGTATACAAATAATTCACGTTGACTTACTGGATGGTAGGGTGAGTGAGTGGGGCTAGCGGATACTGGTGGTCAAAAAGTTTAATTTCACACATGAGTAAGTCCTGAGAAGACTCAGTGTCAACTTACTGACTCAAGCCCAGCCCATGGGGAGTAGGTATTCAACATCTCAAGGGCAAATTATCTCAGGGCAAAATATCTCAGGGCAAAATATCTCAGGGCAAAATGTTTTAGGGCAACATATCTTAGGGCAAAATATATTAGGGTAAAATATCTTAGGATAAACAATCTCAAGCCATAATATCTTGGTATAAAATAAAAATTTTTTAATTTGAGGTTAAATTGCCTGGATGATAATTTTTTGGTATGTCTAATCTTAGTTATGAAAATATTCAAATGGAAAACAGCCTACTTGTCAAACCTCAAACGTTTATAGTCATAATTTAAAAAAATCATTAGGCCTATATTTCATATGAATAAATTAATAATTAACTCATGCATTTATCTTTAAATTACTAGTTCAGTGCCAATAATAATTTTATTTTCTCTCACCAGACTGTAGGTCAAGTTTCCCGCCACGTTGGCGTCTTTGTCAACAGCGGTCACGGTCATCACGGTACTGCCCACAGGAGTGGCCTAGTATTACAACAGTTGATTTGAATGTTTTACAATCAACAATAATAGATCAGTCATGCTTATATTTTCTTTACATTTAAATAGGAAGTTAATCAAAGAGAAGCAACTCATATTTTAAAACTACAAACTTACCTCCCTTATGGAAATTTGACTTGCTTGGTTGAGAAACACTGGGGTGTTGTCATTGACGTCATTGATGTATATTTTAGCATCGTAAACCTAATATAACCCAAAGTTGTATATCGTTAGATCAGATGGTGTTAAAAGACAAGGCTAACGGTAGAAGCGATGACTTAGCTGTACAAGTAGCAAGGGAGTCAGTTTAGCATATCGAGTTTCTCGAGTTACGGAAGTTTGTTCTAGAGTGGTAAGTGGCAGGATCTAAAGGGTTAGGTCATTAGGTGACGATTAATACTGAGGTGTTAGGGGGATTTCGGGGGGGGGGGGGGGGTGAGTTTAGAGTCAGGGTTTTTGGGATAAAGGAGGTTAGTGTTAGGGTTAAAATGATTGAGGAATGTTTAAGTCAAGATTTTGGGGGAGGGGTAGGTTAACCCTCATATCACCATCCCCAACAACATCAGTGATGATACACATAACGACAGCGGCAATAAAAAAAATACAACATCAGTGATGATACACATAACGACAGCTGCAATAAAAAAAATTCTTACGATGGGAGCCAGGCTAGAGTTGCTGGGTGTACAGGTCAGGACAAACGGTATCATGTCAAGGTCATCAACAGCTGACTCGGTCAGACCCTGGGGTCGAATATAACATTTACATTACAGCAAATCACATTTTATAACAGCCTATAACATTTGTAGTGTATCAATAATGAACATTTAATAAACATTTTAATTGAACTTTTTAATTGTTCTACTGCACTTGAAATGAGAACCAGTGGCGTAGCCAGGATCGTCTCAAGGGGGGGGGGGGGTTTCCAATTTTTACCCGGGGACAAACTTTCGATTTGCACCCCCCCCCCCCAAACTTTTGATTTGCACCCCTCCCCTCAAACTTTCGATTTGCACCCCCCTCATACTTTTTTTATATACCGAGGGGTCTATAGGGGGGGGGGGGTTATGACCCCCCCCTAACCCCCCCTGCCTAAGCCACTGATGAGAACAACACTGAAACTTCTTTGTTGAATGAAACTAAACGAAAACTAATCTTTCATGAGAATAATGAGCAAAACAAACATTAAATAGTCAAATTAATGACCGAAATTTTTTTTTTAACCCTAAACATGAATTGATCTGAGCCAGATACTCACGTCACGGTCGATGGCCTTGGTGAGCCGGAAGTAGTTGACCCCAGCTACAGTCGTGGGGACGAAATAATCCATGGGATCAAGGACAGGGTAGCTGACGCTGAGGTTGAAGTCACCGAGGCTGTAGTTGCCTGCTATTCTTAGCTCCGTAAGGTAGTTGTTGGACGCGTTCTGCAGAGCTGGGGGAGGGAGGGGAGAATATTTGACTAAATAGGGAAGGAGGACTACTTTAGAATAAATGGCGGGGAATACTAGGCTATTTAGGGAGGGGGAATTTTTACTAAATACGGAGGGAGGATCACTTGAGAATATATGGGGGGGGGGATACTTGACTACATAGGGAGTGGAAATAATTGACAATATAGGGAAGGGGAATACTCAGAGTTTCTTCCAGGTATATTTTTAAAGGGGGGGGGGGGGTGTGGGCTCGCCCCGAAAAAAGTCTACCGCCCCCCCCCCCCCGGAAATTTTAGCCCCCCCCCCCCCCAGGAGAAAAAAGTCTAGAAGAAACACTGAGAATCTGAGAATACTTGACCATATAGAGGAGGGTGGAGTACTTGAAAACATGCGGAACGTCGATATAGTGGGTCTACAGTGCGACTCTCCATTGCTTACCTAATTCTGAGATAAGATCAACCCCTCCCCCCCACTCTAAACATACCCCACATCACTGCTATATTATGTACCTGACTATAAAAATTACGTAATCCATTTAGCACCAACATTATTATCTACCCGCTATTCGAAACTTTTCATCCCATTTGAACCCCATACGAAGAGAAAACAACATCAAACATTACCTTCCTGTGTGGCCTCATCCACAGACATCTGCAGTGTGGGCAATGTACCGAGGTAGGGACCATCATCCAGTGGCTCGCACACTGTAAGGTAAACACAGTTATCGTGAGTGGAGGGCAAAGTAGTCTTGTAGTTTGTTAGGGGATCATGATGATAGAATAATGTTGAGAACAGGGGTCGTGTTGTAGCTGGGTAGGGGTTGTGTTATAGGAAGTATGGGGTTATATTGGGGATTGAAGAGAAAAAAGTCTAGAAGAAACACTGAGAATCTGAGAATACTTGACCATATAGAGGAGGGTGGAGTACTTGAAAACAGGAAGAAAGTCGTGGTGTAGGGGACAGGGCGACGTGTGCGAGTGTAGAGGGGTCATGTTATGGGGGGGGGGGGGCAGTGGGGATGTCATGTTATAGGGGTCAGTGGTGGTGTTATCCATGTTGTAAGTATACAATGTCATACCGGCCTAGGCATTAATATAAAAACAAAAGAAAAAATCCTGGAAATTTGTATCTATTTTTATCCACGGGGTTTCCCGTATCTCCCAAAATCACGTACTCTCCATGTCACGAAAACATCCGTAAACAACACGACAACAAAATTCAGGAAGAAGCCACCCCCCTCCCCTTTACATTTAGATCCCGGATACACCCCCTCACCCCTCATTGCACTAAATCCTTCCCTAGATATTGACTCAGTAATGCAACTAAGCCGGGGAAGTTTTCTATCGAGAAAACGAAAGTCCAGGATATGCTAGCTTTTGTTTGATTTGTTGCAGGTTACATGCACACAAAAATTGTGGCGACGGGTACATTTATGTAAGAGAATAAATCACACACAGAGAGGTCGAATTTTTAGCGCCCTCTGACGGAAGTGTTGAAGATTTGCTGTATCACTGTGGTTTTTTAATAAGCCTAGTGGTAGCTGTATGTGATACACTGTGCCCTTTCTTTGCCCAAATATTTAGTTATGTTTGCTAAACTGTGCCCTTTTTATGGCTAAAGTGTTAGCTGAATGTGCTTCAGTGGGCCGTTTCTACGGCCAAACTATGGCTAAGTTTTGTAAATTTACATTTCTTAAGAAATTAGGTCAAATTGATTGATGAGCGAGAGTCCACATTGACTGACTCACAAGCTATGGAGTCTACACTGACGCACGAGCTATAGAGTCCAGTGGCGTAGCCAGGAATCGGTCATGGGAGGGGTTCAAATAGTTTTCCATATGTATAAAATCATATATATATATATATATATATATATATATATATATATATATATATATATATATATATATATATATATATATATATATATATATATAGTGTAGGGGTATATATATATATATATATATATATATATATATACATATATAGGGTGTGAGTCCATGGGAGGGGTTATAACCCCACTAACCCCCCCCCCCCCCCCCTTGCCTACGCCACTGATAGAGTCTACACTGACTGACGCCCACACCCAAGCCATACTGTTCAAGTCCGGGTATTACGTCACGAAAACAAAATGGCTGCCTGCCTGAAAACTCAGGCGAACGCCCTTCTCAAACAGTCAAATCATACATGAATAACAATTTCTCGGTACCACAGTACAATTATTCAATTTATAATAACAAAATTGAAAAAAAAAAGTTTTGTAAGCAAAAATTAACACCAAACAGCGCAAATAAGATTATCAATGACATGGAGTGTGTCATAACCAAATCTGTACGAGTAATTTTGCTACTACTTTAGGCCAGCATTAGTAAAAATAAAATAAATTTATCATACTACATTTTAAAAAAATCATAAAAAAAAACGTTTTAATATCAAACTTTTATGTAATAATGCACTAAAAAGTAGAAAATAAATTATAGATTTATAAATAACTATAGAGAAAAGCGTGGGTCACTTAAGTACTTAATGGATACCTTTACTAATATTTGAGAAGAGACACACGCTTTTCTTTATAGTTATTTAAACGTTTTTTTATGAATTTTTTTCCAGTACTTTACATGTTTTATTTACAATAGAGTTACATGACTAAAAACCATTGTCAAGTTTATAGCTAAAGTTTCAGTAAAGTATTATGGGATGGCGTAGTCTAGTGGTAAAGAACTAGAGTGCTGACCCGACTAAAAACCATCGCGCACCTATTGAACGTGATGACGCGCTTTTGACGTAGACCCCCCCCCCCCCCCCCCACCCCTGGGATTGTCACGATGCATTGTCTTCATGTCTTGACCCAAGTACCAACTACGAACCGTATCTGTCAGTTAGAAGTGCCTGCAATTTCACACGGGCGTTTCGACCTAGACAGACAGACAGACTGACGACTGACGAGGAAGTGAGTTAAATAAAAGCTTGTAAAAATGTGTAAATTATGATCTATATTTCCATGTCTTTACGCGAGATGCACGTAATTTTTTAATTTAGTCATTCCGCGAAAAATTCAATAAAAAATGTTCTGTTTTTTTTAGTGTCTCCCCCCACACAATCATCGCTAACACACCACAACATCTATGTATTAACCATGATATTTCTCACCCATTTTCGCAGTGCTGTGTTGTAAAAGTGAGATCAGGGCCAACAACCCACAAATTATGCGCCCTTGTCTTGTTGTCATGGTGATCTGAAATTACACAAGCGGCGGTTAATTTTATAGGACAGAAAATGTGAAAAATTTGCAGCTTAAACTATCCTTTTCATGTAATATTAGAGGAAAAAAAGGAAAGGGGGGTGGGGCGGTGGTTTATCATCTTGTTAATATTTAGTGTAACATCAGTAATTTACCGTAACATTTTGATTTGCTTTACTCTTATTTTCTCGAAATAAACGCAGCTATTGATTTCATTTCTTCTTTCAATACTATGTTAGGCTTCATATACCCTCCTAATAATTTAATAAAGATGCAACGATCTATGTCCTCTATACAGTGTGATTTCCAGAATCAATTGCAAAAAAAAAATCTCGTAAGCGAGTACTTCCCTTTCGAACCTGATGGTTCATAGGGCAAGTGAAGTAGAGTTCACTTGTTTCCGTTACCACGGTAAGTTTGTAGTATAGCCTACAAAACTGTGTCTTTATTTGTGGTAGGGGGTGGGTGGAAGTAGAAATGGTATATACTTACGTATTTTAATGTATTTGGGGGTGGGGGCTGTGAACAAAACTCTAAACTAAAACTATGTTATACGAGCCGACGCGGCATATCATACGCCGCTATTTAGTTGTTTTATTTTCTACTTTTCAGTAATTCATAATTTGTGAATTTGACAGCACCAATGCTGCCACTGAAAATATTTGCTTTAAAACACTATCAGTAGGTCGTTAAGGACGATACTACCCCCACCCTCCTTTCCCCCAATTCTACACTACACCCCCCCCCGTGAAAGCAGCCTCCTCTTAGTTACCTCCCCTAAGTTTAAAATCGTTTTAAACTAAATTATCTGCCCCTAGGAACCGTCACTAAATCCGGCTCTACGATTGTAAACATTTAACGTGAACCACAGCTCACCAGACCATGTAGGGGTGGGGGTGGTAGGGAGCGCGCTTACAGCTTGTTTTCTAGCGTCTCCCAGAAGAGAATTATATATATAGATAATATGTGAACGATCTCGAAGTCATTGCCATTTTATAATTCAGCAACATGATTATGAAATTGCTAAAATTAATCATAAAAATGTGAAATACGATTCGTTTTTAAAGCTACTAATATGTTTAAACTAAAAATAAAGTGTCAAAGGAACTTACTTAGTAAGTGAATATGTTTAATTTTAATCTGTATTGGTTTCTTTGACTTCAATTATCCCCACTGTCTTGGAAATGTCCTTACGATTTTGATAAAATGTCTTTATGGTCCTGGCAAATGTCCTTACGATTTGAACATATATTTTACGATCCTGAAAATGTCCTTGCGGTCCTGATATAAGTCCTTACGTTACTGACGCTGCTTTATATCGTATCCGAATACCCGGAACTGTGAGGGTACTATGGGCCGATACCGCTTGTAATACCGGAACGAGGTAGGGCCTTTCATAGAATCAGATTTCATACCTATGAAGATCTAGGCCAAACAAGAAATTTGGCCAGTGTTTCAACTGTTTAACAGACAACGGACCTAAACAATTGAAAAACCCAGAAGTTTAAAGTATATTGCGTGTATCATGAAAATGTCTAGTATATGCAGCATTTTAATAAAGAGAAATCTGTTACAAAATAAACTGAATTTAACTGTAATTAAATGTTGTACCATGGCCTTTAATTTCTTAGAAATTGTATTTTGATGCGTCTTTTGTTCCTGAATGATTTTTATTTCATTATGGGTTTGGTAGGGCTACGTATACGACCATGTATTGTGCTAGTGTTTGTGTTGAGTGTAAGTGTGCAAGAGTGTGCAAGTGTGTTGACGCGTGTTGAAAGTTTGGTTACACATGTTATGTATATCTGTGTGATTATATCGAAAGCCAATAGAATGACTGATTTATAAATCATTCGACATATGAACTGGAATAGATGTGGTTAAAGTAATCAATGTTAAAAAGTATAAATAAGGGGGTTGGTGTGGCGAGGAGAGGTGGTCAGTTAACGGGATTTTGTGCTAATGGGATTTTTATTTTCTCAGAATTCAGTTAAAAAAAATTTATGTCCATATATAACATCACGTTTTTACCCTTACTCTACTTCTCCCCCTCCTCTACGGATGATACATTGAAGAAATAAATATTTTATAACCTTGCATTGTCCCCCCCCCCCCCCCAAGCGCACAATCACACATTCCCTGTGTGTGTGTGTGTGTGTGTGTGTGTGTGTGTGAGGTCAGTTTGTACACAGTTGAGTAGTTTAGATGGTCGTAAGTTCGCTCATTCGATCTTTGCTGTCCAAGTCCAGCAGTAGACTTGTGTACAGTGTGCAAGATAGATTAGCCGTACCACCACATGTACCAAGTACATTACCTGTACCGTAAAACAAACAGGGTAAGCTACTCCTCTGGTCATCATTTAGACACTTGAAAAAACAAAAGCAAAACCAGATTCACATTTTTATATAGTTCGGTTTATTTTATGCCCAGGCATTCGTACAGTATTTGACGCACTGTCAAAATTCTAGGATAAACACCCCATATGTCCAGCATATAAATAAACACTATTTCATTAGGCTTGGGACATACAACATTCACATACATGCTTGATAAGATAAAATTCGAATGTTTAAAAACTAATCTCAAGGATTTCAATAAAAATAAAATCTTGGTAGAAAAACATGTTTAAAAAAAAATGAATAAAAACTAAATGTGTATGGGAATATGTGAAAGTAAAACGTGAAAGACAGACGTCAAGATGGACAGTATGGACGCTCGTTTCACCCTTGTTAAAATAAAGAGATTGCTACTTTTAAACTTTAATGTGTACAAAAATGGTACATAAAATAAATCATTGCTAAAATACCAGACAATCATATCTACAACACCATCCTTTGATTTATCTGATACGTTAAAAATAGTACATCTTTTAAAACAACTCATGAAGAATGGCAATTGTGTTAAAAATACTTCATCACTTAACTGAGCTGCTAATTCATCACACATCTGAGTGTTACCACACATCCATATTTAGTTGTGATGTATGCGAACCCAGGATTTTCTATTTTTTCTTTTTCATTGATGACATCAAGAGGTGGCCCATCCTACAGAAAAAGTTTACGTTTGTTCATAAGGATGGCCTATCTTAGTGGTGGAGGATTTGGCCATCGAGTAAAGGATCAAATTTGGACCACTTTACCGGGGAGTGTGGGGGGGCCACTTTACCGGGGAATGTGGGGGCCACTTTACCGGGGGAGTATGGGGCCCACTTTACCGGGGGAGTATGGGGCCCACTTTACCGGGGGAGTATGGGGCCCACTTTACCGGGGAAGGTTGGCCCTTATGAAAGTATTAGCTCCTACAATCTAGAATCCCGTTTGGCCATTGCTTGCAGTAAGTTCTGTCTCTTCAATCCGGGGACGTTGACAAATGCTCTGAAAAAATATTTGTAAAATTTTAAGTTGAACTATAATTCACTGGTCTGGTCTAGCCTACTCGTTAGCATGCCACTAGGAAATATTGCTGGTAAAAATAATGAAGGTGCGCATTGATGAATTAGTTACAAGAGTTTAAGTTCTCTCTCAAATAAAAAACAACTCAGAATGAAGTTCGTCTTAGTTATCAAAAATAAATTCTTTTCTTTCCGAAATTTTATTCAAAGTCCTCTTTAGTCTATATTACATTTACTTACATTTAGCTAACAGAACATTTGGAATAATTAAAATACCAGTTAGCCAGAAATTGGCCTTGATCATGTGGAAGTCAAGTCTCTTCTTTGGATCACTCCTCAACAGCCCATGAAAGAGGGAAGCTTGACCAGGATCTAAAAACAAACGGTTAGAATTTTTGTTCTATTTTTCGTACTAATTCAGCTTCCATGTGCACAGTGCAGGTGAGTGGTCCAGTACTCACCTTCAAACTTTCTGACAATGTCCTTGATGTCGTCACATTTTCGTTTGACGGGCCGCTTGATGCACGCCCCCACAAATGTCACACCTTTAGGAAATTTCAAACTTATGACATTCTCACAAACAAAAACTATTTCGTGAGTTCCTGTCGCATAGCAGCATTTCTCAGTCATCTATTCTATCCTAATTCTGTTCCGTTTTGTATTATAATTATATTTCTTTATTCCACAAGTGCTATTTGAGTGCTATTCTATTAAATGGTATTTTAAAAAAAATAACGGCCAATGTAAAAAGGCCTCAATACCTACTGTTGTTACCATCATTAAATATTTATAAAATGTTTAATCTCATAGGACTCTAGCTAAATCTCTTGCCGAAAGAATAGATTCTGGATGGAATGGGTTATAAATTATTACAAAGAACAGACCACCAAAGAATTAATGTAAAATTGTTACCAAGCGCGTAGATGTCGGTCTTGAAGGGGTTAAAGCAGGGGCGGACAACTCGCATCTCCGGGGCCCAGTAGTCTCTCGTGCCTCGACTTATTTTCTCGACATCCTCATCAGACGAATACCTTTTGGCGAAACCAAAATCTGAAAATAAAGGGAATTTTGTTTTTCAAGTCTCCACCTTTTCAACCCCCCCCCTCATCTCTCAAGGTAACTGGTCCTATGCTCACCCCCCCCCCCGTCAGAGAACCACCTTTTGAGTTACACCAGAGTTTATTTCAGGCATCTCTTCTAACGCCCCCTCCCCCCAACAAAATAGAATTAACATAGAAATTATATACTAGTACCAGTGTTCACCCCCCCCCCCCCCGTAAAATTTAGTCCCTCACGTCTGAACATAACAAGACCCCCCCCCCCCCCCCCAGGAAAATGTAGTTCCCCCACCTCTGAAAATAACCTCTGAAAAAATTTAGTCCTTCCCCACCTCCGAAAATAACAAGTGCCCCCCCCCCCCTCGCCCAGCGAAAAAAAGTCTGAAAGAAACACTGAGCCACATACAAGTAATACATATATCTACCGGCTATTTTAGCGATGTTGTTATCTGTAATGAGGATGTTCTTCATCTTGATGTCAGAATGGGCGATGTACTTGTTATGTAAACATTCCAGTCCATTCACTACATCTAGCATGTAATGTCTGAAACAGATACATTAAATAAATTAAGTTAAAATAATTTATATATATATATATATATATATATATATATATATATATATATATATATATATATATATATATATATATATATATATATATATATATAAACATACATACATCCGATTATAAAATAATTTATTAAATTATATATCAATGAAGAGGAATTGTATCGTTTAAAAATCTAGATTTTGTTCGTTCCTTCTTAATTCTTACCCTTACAGTATTAAAACCAAGGGATACAAACCATGACTATGATTTAAAAAAATAGTCAAACGTTATTAATAAATTCAACAATTATCAAACAAAAATAATTGATTGTATCTTTTTTTAAATATAAAATGGTGTTGCTTTAAAAAAATGTTTATGTAAATTTTAAAATTTAATTTATTTTAAAATTATTATTTAGCCAATAAAAAAACCAGCATTAATTAAAAAAATGTATTAGTACAAATAAGTTCATTTTAAATCGAGATAATTACTCTGCAATTAAGCTTACTCTTAATTTTACTTTCTCTACGAGAAAGTATTGTAATCGTGCAAAAAAAAAATATCTCTAGGTTTTACACCTCCCTGAGTCGGAAAAACATAGCTTTGCAATCTTGTCCGTATGTCTGTGTGTGTGTATGTGTCTGTGAACACGATAACTTGAGAACCGTACAGCTAGGTTGATGAAATTTCATATATCAAATTTGTAGTTCTGCATCAACTTTTCAGCGATTTCCGATAACCTGAAGTGGAACTTATTCTACTTTCAATTTTTCAAAAGCCTATAACTTGAGTACTATTTCAGATAAATAAATAAATTTCACATGTAAGTAAAAGATCTAATTCTCTGACCTATCAAATTTAGAGTAATTTCCGTTAAACGGAAGTAGTAATTTACGCTATTTCCGATTTTTCAAAAACGCATGTAAATTTATAAAGTACTAATAATATTCCGAACTATTATACACAAATTATACACTTGGTGCGCAATTCTTTTTTCTACGAGATTCTATTCTATTTTAAAATGTTTAAGTAATTAAAAATGGATTTAAAATAATGTCTATACCCCAAGTTGTCATCTCCCGTAGTGTTATCTATCTATCTATATATATAATTCTCTTCTGGGAGACGCTAAAAAACAAGCTGTAAGTGTTTTAAAGCAAATATTTTCAGTGGCAGCACTGGTACTGTCGAATTCACAAATTATGAATTACTGAAAAGTAGAAAATAAAACAACTAAATAGCGGCGTATGATATGCCGCGGGTCGGCTCGTATAAGAATATTCGAGAAATTTTAGGGGAGATCACTCCTTGTTTATTTTTTTAGAAGGAAAAAATGTGAATATAGCAGTTCAAGGGTGTTGGCACCGATAAAAACATCTTTAATACTAGAGAGCAAACAACTTTTTCTTGATATATAATAAATAGTGCAATTGGCAATTGGTGTCACTCCCCTCCAGTTTTGCCTAACTTGTTCTACCCTACCCCACAGTAGCCTCACAGTGTGTTGTATGAAAGTTTTGAGTATATGTTAATCACTCAACTATTTGGAGGTAAAATCCCCTCGGCGCCCGCTCAGGTCAGAGGTGTAGCGAGGGGGGGGGGGGGTGTCGGGGGACATATGTCCCCGGGCGCCGACCTTAAGGGCGCCAAAATGGGTTGGAAAAACAAATTGAAAGGGGTGTGCAACTCGAAAGTCTGAGGTGGGGGGGGGGGGGGGGGGTGTGCAAATCGAAAGTTTGAGGGGGGGGGTAGCTAATCGAAAGTTTGTCCCCGGGCGCCGGGAAGGGTCGCTACGCCTCTGGCTCAGGTGCGTTGTGGGCGCTCTTGGGAGCCACATGATACATCTAGAATTCCACCTGTTGTATTAGGCTCAACAAACGATAGGTGTTTAAAGGTTGAAGGACATTACCTGTGCAAGATTCAACCATATACTGACGTTACCTGGTCATAATCAAAGCACTGTCCAACTGACGTAACATGCTGAAGAGGTCACCTCGACCGCAGTACTCCGTCATCAGCCAATAGGAATCGACGCATTCAACCGCTAGTAGGAACTGTAGCTAAAAATAGAAGCAGGATACGGGTCTTAGAGTTGTGTTGGTGCGTCAGTGGAAAGTGTAATATGTGTCATGCCGCTGTCAAGTGGTAGTCTGACACTGCCATGGGACATCAGGTTGACACTAGACTGCAATACCACGTGACACGTCATTATCCATTAAATATCGTGACTCAATATAACATCAAGTACGACAGATTGGTAGGGCTACTATAAAATGACTTGTTTCAAATGATCTGACATAAAAAATGACTATCATGTTAAAATTAAATAGTCCTTTTATCTAATGGTCGACTATATTTGGAGGTTTGTTCGATATGAAGAGTGTGGTGATTGGTGATGTTGATAGGTGGTTTTTGTAGTAAGCAAGTAATACATTAACTCTTGTCGAATTCTGCAGGTTATTTCATGATGCAACTTTTGACAGTAGTAGACAGTAGGATCTAAAGTGCGATACCTTACACACAAAAAAAAAATAAAAATAAAAAAAAATAAAAGAAAAACAAAGAAAAAGGCTTTAGAGTACAGAAAAATGGACTACCTTAAAATGAAACAAATTAATACTAACCTAAATAGACACGTCATCGATAGTAAATAAGACCGGATTCCCCCCCCCCCTACCCCATTGGGTGACCTACCCCATTGGGTGACCTACCCCATTGGGTGACCTACCCCATTGGTGACCTACCCCATTGGGTGACCTACCCCATTGGGTGACCTACCCCATTGGGTGACCTACCATATTGGGTGACCTACCATATTGGTTGACCTACCATATTGGGTGACCTACCATATTGGGTGGCCTACCATATTGGGTGGCCTACCATATTGGGTGACCTACCATATTGGGTGACCTACCATATTGGGTGACCTACCATATTGGGTGACCTACCATATTGGGTGACCTACCATATTGGGTGACCTACCATATTGGGTGACCTACCATATTGGGTGACCTACCATATTGGGTGACCTACCCCATTGGGTGACCTACCCCATTGGGTGACCTACCCCATTAGGTGACCTACCACAATGGGTGACCTACCACAATGGGTGACCTACCACAATGGGTGACCTACCGCATTGGGTGACCTACTACATTGGGTTACCTACGATAATTGGATGACCTACCATAATTAGGTGACCTACCATAATTAGGTGACCTACCATAATTAGGTGACCTACCATAATTAGGTGACCTACCATAATTAGGTGACCTACCATAATTAGGTGACCTACCATAATTAGGTGACCTATCATAATTAGGTGACCTATCATAATTAGGTGACCTATCATAATTAGGTGAACTACCATAATTAGGTGACCTACCATAATTAGATGACCTACCATAATTAGGTGACCTACCATAATTAGGTGACCTACCATAATTAGGTGACCTACCATATTGGAGGACCTAACATAATTGGATGACCTACCATAATTGGATGACCTACCATAATTGGATGACCTACCATAATTGGATGACCTACCATAATTGGATGACCTACCATAATTGGATGACCTACCATAATTGGATGACCTAACAATTAGATGACCTACTACATTGGGTGATCTAACATATTTGGGGGACCTAACAATTGGATGACCTACCACATTGGGCGCCCTCCCCTTCCTCAACATCTCCACCTCCCTCTCCACCATCTTGGCACGGATCTTCGCCTTGCTGAGAACCTTCATGGCGAACAGGCGATCGCTGTACTCCACCGGCTCCATCCTCGGCACTTCCTGGTCGCCAGACCTCCCCTGGACACTGGAACAGCAAACCAACGTCTTTCTTTTGGCATCAGACACCAGTAGTTCCAGCCCACAGTCCGGCAGTGTGGCATTGACCACCGCACACTTGAGCACGTACCCCGAGTACCCAGCACCTATGTTGGCGATGACGTCAATGTTGAACCTGCCGTTGAGAAGGTCTTGGGTCTTGCAGTGGACGTAGGTGAAGTTGGAGTGCCTGGGGATGTGGGATACCTCACTGGCTTTCAGACTGGGCACGACGGCATTAATGCTTGCCTCTGTCGTGTAAATTTGGGTGACGCGCTTTTTCATTCTGTTTTACAGGCAAGTTGAACGTTGCAACCAGCTATACGAAAATAAGCTTCAGATTTTCTAAACAAACAGTCGACTTCGTCATGAAAGCCAGTTGTCCTCGTTATACGCCAGATTAAACTTTATCCTCGTTTAACAGTGTTTTGTCATCGTTATACACAAGAGGTAACCTTTCTTCTCGCTTTACACGTTCATCCTATTCATACTCTTATACGAATCGTAGCTCCGAAATCTAAGTTCCGATCCGATGTTTCAATAAACTGTCGTCCAACAACACATGGTATCATTCTGAGGCTGTGTTCAAGTCACATGACACATGTAAACACTGAGACGACTAGAAATGTTTACAAATGTGTTTTTGTTTTCGTGGTGATCAAATTTTCACTTCAGACAAACCAGAAAAAATGATAGTGTGTGAACGAAAAAAAATGTAGCTGTGTTTGTGTTGGTATATTGATGTGTGTGTGTGTGTGTGTGTTTCTGTGTGTCTATTGGTGTGTTCGAGCGATTGGATTGAGAGGGGAGTGAATGCTAGTCAGTCTTGACTGTATTGGTGGAGTAAAACAGCTGTTAGGGGTGTCTGAAACCGTTTGTTTTCTGTTCTTGAAGTCAACTCACACGTCATATCATGTACACAGGGTTTCTTCCAGGCATCTCTTCGGGGGGGGGGGGGGGGGGCATCGCCCCCCGAAATTTTTTTACCGCCCCCCCCCCTCCCGAACGAAATGAAATTTATAAAATTTATATAGAAAATATATACTTTTAACAGTGTCCGCCCCCCGAAGAAAGTCTACCGCCCCCCAGAAAATTTCAAGTGCCCCCCCCCCCCGGAGAAAAAAGTCTGGAAGAAACACTGCATGTACACAGCACATGTTTACAAACACACGTAAAATTGTTTAATAGTTGTTAGCGTGTAGTTGTGAATACGTTTAAAAAAAAAAACAAAACAACTCGCCTTTTGGCATTTTCTGGTATTTTATTTGCTGGAAAAATTATGCCGAATACCCAATTTAATTATAATCAAAGGAAACAACAATGAATATAGTAAGTTGATTCAGGGGCGTAGCCACGTAGAGGAGCAACAATTAGTGCAGAAAAAAAGGCGCCCTTTGCACTCTGGTCATCATGGAATAATAAGTCAACCGATGTTCAAATAATTTCTACCAAAGTAATTATTTCTTTTAACTGTTTTTTTTCCTACGGTGTTTTTAATTAATCTCTGAATTTGAAACTAAATTATCAAATATAATTATTACATCATGCAAGAACAAAATATCCCTCAGTAATGACGGGTTAATAAAAAACGCACCAGCATTCAGTAAGTTAGCCCATGTTTACCAATGCCGTTTGTTTTTGTAAATCGTGCTTTTTAAGTAGTAGACTCTATACAGGGGAAGTGATCCAGAGTAAAATATCGAATTACAATAAAACATGTTACCGTTCTTTATGAGACTAATTCATCAGAAATCTAATTAATTTTAAAAACAAATTATTCATTTTATTAACCATTTGTTAAGGTTTGTATAAAATTTAGATACAGATTCAATACAATATAATTTTATCAAATATCTAAAAACCAGAAACCAAACATTGGAATTAAAAGTAAAATTTATTAATAGAAAGAAATCCTGTAGGCAAGTTTATTGACAAAATTCAATTACACATTTGCATTTTCAGTTTTTATTAAAATTAATTTTTTTAAGGAAAAAAAAGTATTAGCATTAATATATTAATTAGACGATTTCACTTAAATGAATGAAAGTAGGCTACAAGTAAGAAAGAAATATTACTATTGTAAATCTTTATCAGTCCTCACAAGCCGATGATGAAAACTGTAATACTAAAGCGAACACACAACGGACGCTGTAAATTACATGTCTGAGGCCGGGGGGGGGGGGGATTAATTAGACGAATTGTATTTAGATATATGTATAAGTAAACCATCTTAAATGAATATAAGTAGGCTACAAATAAGAAAGAAGTATTACTATTGTAAATCTGTATCAGTCCGCACAATCCGATAATGAAAACTAATAAAACTGTAATACTAAAGAAATACGCAAAGGCAAACTGACGCTGTAAATTACATGTCTGAGGCGAATTTTTTATATATTTTTCAGTGTTAAAATCTCTTTAGAAGTTCAGTGATGGAAAAAGCTGTTTAAAAAGAAATAATGTATGCTTTGAAGTGTCGCAAAATACTGTAAATATAATACCAACTATTTATTTTTTTTTAATTCCGAAAATTTTTCAGCTACATACCCTCCGTCCCCCATTGTTCTTAAATTTATAATTTAGGTTCGCTTTTTGTTGCGACTTCATACCTACTCAATTGTCAATTAATTATTTATATTTTCAGGATTTAAGGTTTTAAAAATAAAAATTGAAAATTAAAGGTTTACAATTTTGAATGAATTAATCATAGTCAATGAATAAAAGTAGGCCAACATGTCAGAAAAAATTATTACTATTGTAAATCTGTGTCAGTCCCAACAAGCCGATGATGAAAATTGCAAACTGTAATACTAAAGGGTACAAGTAGGCAAGACGAACTAACGCTGTAATTTATATTTCTGAGGCAAGAAGTATATATATATATATATATATATATATATATATATATATATATATATATATATATATATATATATATATATATATATATATATATATAATAGCTTACTGCTAAATTTTGTTTAAATTTTCTTCGAGGACAAAAAAAAATTAGTGATAAACGCTTGACTAAGAAAAGGCGATATAAAACAACAAAAACAAACATATTGTTTCTCCACAGTGAGCTAGAGCCTAAAGAAGTTACTGTTACCCTTGGTTGAGTGGCTGAAAATTTTCTTTTTGTAGCCTTTTTTCCCCCCCAAAGAGAAACAACTGAACACACACACAGGCTTTTAATTTAATTTGATTACCTCCCCTG